GCTGAAGTTCTCGATTTAATAAGTACGCATGTGTTATTTAAGAATGACCTATACGTATTCTTGAAATAATCACTTCGTCGAGGCCGAAGTTAGATGATATACTAACTTTGTTTTCTATTGCATATAGTTTACTTGTAGCACAAAATTCCCAATATATCTGCCAAAGAGAATTTACATAAAGTTTCACAATATATTTTAGGTCAGTATAAGGAATTTCAAAAATGGTAATTTCGTACTGAAGTGCCAATTTTGCAGCACTATCAGTCTTAGTGTTTCCAATAATGCCAATATGACTTGGAATCCAACAAAAGTCAACTACTTTACCTTGTTGAGTGAAATGATAGAACTGAATTAATATATCTAAAATGTATGGTTGATCGATATTCATATTTTGTATAGATTGCAAGCAAGAAAGCGAGTCCGAAAATATAGTAAAAGAGTTGTCATTAGAAGATTTAATATATTCAAATGCAAGCTGTATGGCGTTTGCCTCTGCTGAAAAAAGATTTCATATTTATCATGTACATAATCTGTGCGTCATAAGCTATGATTTTACCCTCGTGACCTTAGCCTTGAAGTTTGACCTAAAAAATTAACAATACTTTTATCTTGGTCATAACTTTTGAGAAAAGATGGGGTTTACATATATAATTACCTTTGACAAGGCCTTTTCAATTTTTGACTGGACACCCCCACCCCCGTTTGACCTGGAAGTTTGACCTACTTCTTAAAATTTCAACAATGTTTATATTTTATAAATAAGAGAAGTTAAAACATTCATATTTGACATGTGTATTACCTGTGACAAGACGATTCCGAACATGGTATGATATTTAAACCCGTGACCTTGACCATTAAGTTTTACTTACTTTTTTTAATTGAAACAAAATTGATAACTTTTCAATGAGAGATGTTTAGTGTTCATTTTTAACAAGTGCATTTTTTGTGACACGAAATTTCTGAATTTGCTATGACATTTGACCCCATGACCTTCAAGTTTGACCCCCTATTTTCAATAATATTATCATAAAATGGCCAGGCCATATAGTGTTACCCTGTTCCGTCATTCTGTCATCATTCACTTTCCGTTCATTATCTCTTCAACGGTTGCACACATTCAACTCAATTTGGCATATGGACACGTCGTAGGAGTATGCAGGTCAAGTTCGAATTTGGTCATGATCCGATGATTTTTGACAGAGTTATTTTTCTTGAACTTAGGAGAAAAAAGAAATTTTCAGTTTCCGCTCTCTAACTTTTGTAGGGATGTATATATAAGGTTAAAATTGCATATGCAGGCATATTACCAGAAAATACAAGTCAAGTTCGAGTTTGGTCACGGTTTAATGATTTTTGACAGAGTTATCCCTCTTAAACTTAGAAAAAATAAGAAATTTTCAGTTTCCACTCTCTTACTTTTGTAAGGATGTATGTATAAGGTTGAAATTGTATATGCAGGTATTATACTAGAAAATACAATTCAAGCTCGAATACAAATTTAAAACTTAATATTGCATTTGAAATTTTGGCTGCTTGCGGGGTCATTCGTGTCGTTATCGACACAACTAGTTTTAAAATTTATTTTCTTTGATTATAACTTTTAAATAAGAGAGAAAGGGCTTTCATATTTTACATGTACATTACCTATGACAACACCTTTGAGAAGATATATCATATTTTGACTTCAACTTGACCTTTGTCTAGTAAAATATCCAAATATGAAACGGATGTGTAGACTGGCGTCTATTATTTCTAGTTTGAAGAATATACAAACAAGACATTTACAACATGCAATAAATAATTGCATGCCTACCACAAAGACACCGAAAGCGAGGGACCACAATTCTTTGAATTATCTACCTATTAAATATAGTCTTTAGTTAATAATACATCCTTTTACAATACAAACAAATTTTTATGCAAGCAGTAGATGCACATTTTCCAGTCTTCCCCTGGGCAGGAATGAGGGTCCAATTGGTCGAAGTTTTGAATAATAGTTGTGAAGATTAAGATTCAAACAGGAAAAAAATTAAGTGTACTTACCAGCGTTGTTGATGTATTGTGATCGGGCGCGGAATGCTCATAATTTTGTTACGTTTAAAAGACGCCATGCTTGAATAAACGTTGTGTCAATCTCAGAGATGTTTCATCAATTATAAGCCCTGTTAGGCATATCAACATGGTGGCAGCGGTGCAAACTTGTTGTTAGTGTTACCGGTCGTCCCTGAAAGTGATGTATCGTGAACTCTTGTAAGTTTTTAGTGTCAAACTTTGAATTTTGTTGTCAACACGTGCTCTGTACACAACCGCCATATTGGATTCAGACTTGATACTCAGTAGCCTTAGATTTTTATTCGGAATGGGTGATCAGGAACAAGCTGTAGGACCTGTAAAGGTGTACAATTGTCCGTTTAGATTACCTCCCCAGCTTGAGTTATCCTCTGGAAATGTTTCCGAGAACTACAAAAAGTGGAAAAGACAAGTTGAAGTTTACATGTCAGCTTCAGGAGGAATCGACAAGAGTAAAGAGGTGCAAGTAGCAATTATTTTGAGTTGTGGTGGACCTCATGTCGTCGAGATATATGACCAATTTCAGTGGGAAGACGAACCTCATAACTACAAGAACTACTTTTAAGAGAAGACAAACTGACTTTGAACAGAGCAATTCAGATATGTAGGGCATTTGAACAGTAAAACATACATGTGAAAGAGCTTCGAGAAAACATTACTTCATCGAGCAAAGTGAATAAACTATCTACAAACAAAAGACAGAAAAACTTCACCAAGCACAAAGTGACACATAAACAGAAAAGTGATTCACGGCCTTCGTGCAAGGAAAAGAAAGAGTGTGATTTCTGTGGTTATAAACATGAACATGGTAAATCAAATTGTCCGGCATGGGGCAAGAGATGTGACAAGTGCAACGGACGAAATCATTTTAAGTCCAGATGTAAGAAAATACATGCTGTAGATGAAGACAGTCCAGAGTTAGAAGATAGTTGGCTCCTTGCGTTGAGAAACAGAGACATACATAGCAAAGACATCATTGCGATAATGAATGTAAATGATTGCGACATACGTTTCCAGCTCGACAGTGCAGCTGATATAAATACTATTTGTCAGAAGTATGTGAAAAAAGAACAGTGTCGTTCATGTAATGTTCGTCTAAACATGTGGAACAATACTCGTATGAAACCCCTGGGTGAAGCTGATCTTGATGTGATCAATGTGCGCTCCAACATAGTTCAGAAACTTAGATTTGTGGTAGTGCAAAACAATCTTACCTGTCTACTTGGCAAGGATGCAATTCAGGACATGGGACTTGTGTCTGTGAACAGTGAAAAGTTCATATCAAAAGTTGGATTAGAACAGCCTCCTGGTGACTTGGGCATTGCAACTCTGAAAGTTGAGTATTCAACCCAAAGTACTTCCTTGCAGGAAAATACCGATTGCTATCCAGGACTCAGTGAAGCAGGAAATTGATAGACTTGTTGATCGAGGTGTTTTAATACCAATTACAGAACCAACTATGTGGGTTAGTCAGATGGCAGTTGCTCACAAGTCAGACGGAAAATTGCGAGTTTGTATAGATCCACAACCTCTGAACACAGCTCTGATACGAGAGTACTACAGATTACCTGTATTAGATGACTTACTTCCAAAGCTTACAAATGCTAAGGTATTCAGCAAACTTGATGTTAAAGAAGCTTTTTGGCACGTTCGCCTTGATGACGAATCGAGCAAACTTACAACTATGATAACGCCATTCGGGAGATACAGGTGGGCTCGTTTACCTTTCGGATTGAAAGTGTCTAGTGAAATCTTCCAGCGACGGTTAGACGAAGCATTATCGGGACTGGAAGGTGTTTTTAGTATTGTCGATGACATTATTATTGCAGGATGTGGTGACAGTGAAGAAGCAGCAAAACGTGATAATGAACTCAAGATGCAAAAAGTTCTTCAGAGATGTGAAGAGAGACACATCACACTAAATAAGGATAAGGAAGAATCCGGACTTCGTGAAATTTCATTTCATGGACACAAAATTTCGAAGGATGGTATCAAGGTCGATGAAAGTAAAGTGAAAGCTATCCTTGAAATGCCAGCACCGACTGATGTCTCTGGAATCAAACGTTTATGTGGAATGGTTCAATACATGTCGAAATTTCTACCAGATTTGTCAAAGATATTGGAACCGTTACGACTACTTACCCGTAAAGACCAAAGTGGAACTGGGACAGCAAATGCGAGTCAGCATTTCAGACACTGAAACGTAAATTGACGGAAACACCGGTTCTAGCTTATTTTGATCCATCAAAGGATGTCACACTGCAAGTCGACAGCAGCAAAGAAGGAATTGGTGCCGTACTACTCCAAGATGGAAAGCCGGTCGAGTACGCATCAAGAGCTCTTACACAGGCAGAGAGAAAATGGGCTCAGATAGAGAAGGAAGCTTTATCTGTTCTCTATGGACTTGAACGTTTTGATCAGTACACTTACGGAATGAAAGTTTTCATTCATAACGATCATGAACCATTATCTGCTATATTGCGCAAACCATTAGGATTGGCACCTAAAAGATTGCAGCGTTACTTCAGATATGACGTAGAATTCGTATTTGAGAAAGGAGTTAACCTTGTGATAGCGGATACGCTAAGCAGAGCTTTTCTCATGATAACAGAAGGAAGTGTGGATGAGCGTCACAGGATTCTATCTGTTTCGACATTAACGGATAATGACATACCGGATATCAGAATCCAAGAAATTCGCGATATAACAGCTAAAGATGCAGAAATGCAAACATTGGTCAACACCATAGCTAATGGATGGCCTGAAAACAAACAAGATCTACCTACAAGTGTGCGTCATTATTTTGATTTTCGTGACACTCTAAGTCTTGAAATGGACTCATTTTGAAAGGTGAAGCAGTCGTCATTCCGAAGACACTTAGATCAGATGTGAAGATTAGATTACATAAAGCACACCTAGGATATGACAGTATGATTAGGAGAGCTCGTGGTGTGATATTCTGGCCTGGGATGAAATCCGATATAAAACAGATTGCAGATTATTGTGGGATTTGTCAGGAAAGAAAACCCAGAAATTGTAAGGAACCTTTAATTCAGCATTCAACATGTGAATTTCCCTGGCAGAAAATTGGACTAGATTTATTTGAGATACAAGGAAAACACTACATGGTTTCAGTAGGCTATTTTTCCAATTTTATTGAGGTAGATTACCTACCAACAACAACAAGCACAAGAGTGATTTCGTTGCTTAAGAAACAGTTCTCTAGATTTGGCATACCAAACGTTATAATTTCGGATGGTCGACCACAATTTAGATGCCAAGAGTTTCAGGATTTTGTGAAGACCTGGAAGATCGACCACAAATTCTCATCTCCGATGCATCAGCAAGCAAACGGAAAGGCTGAATCGGCAGTGAAGATCATCAAAACACTGATGCTAAAAACACAGGAGGATGGGACAGACCCATATGAAGCGTTACTTGAACAACATTGTACCCCAAGGCAGGATACTGGTCTAAGCCCAGCACAGATGATGTTCAACAGAGAGATACGTGCTACACTCCCAATGAGATGTCGAGTGAACAATAATTTTGGAATAGCAAAGTCCAAACACAGATCCAGACAGATTTCCGTGAAGAAATCGCATGACAAAAATGCACGAAACTTACCTGAAGTCGATATTGGACAGTCCGTTTATTTCCAACACCAGGAAGGACAAAACTGGAAGCTTGGGAAAGTGATCCAAATACTTGGACAGAGAACATACGTTATTGCAGACTCACAAGGAGTCGAATATCGAAGGAACCGAATTCATTTTAGACCAACTAAAATACAGACCCATATTCGTGATCAATCTCCAGTTCGTGAAGAACCAATCAACAAACGTGAACTCTGTGAATTTCCAAAACCAGTTAGTGAACCAACAAGCGAGTGTATGTCCAGCAAACGGATACCGGTAGTTACAGGCTCGATTGAACAACATAGCGTTCCAAACTCGATTTCAGAAACTGTTGTCAGCAAGCCTTCTTACAAGGATATTACACCAGATACTCGTGCAATGCCAATATCGCGTGAACCGTCGATAAGGATTCGTAGGAAACCAGCATACTTGAAAGACTATGTCCAAAATTGATTGAGATACTGTTTAATTCTATTTCATTATTTTGTAAAGAAGTTCTTTAACAGTTATTGATCATTCATGAAATATTTGGAGATAACGAACAGTATTCAAGCTCAAAAGTCCATTAATCAATACAAAATAGGAGCAGAGCAAACACGGACCTCCAAACATCAGAGGTGGGATCAGGTGCCATGGAGGAGTGAGCATCCCCTGCCGACCGGTCACACCCGCCGTGTGCTCCTTGTCATGATCGGGAAATAACGGAAAAATCCGTCGACAATTCAGTGTGTAAATAATGGCCTAACAATTAGTGTGCAAAATGTCAGTCAGCATTTGACTCAATGATAAATTGTATTTGCTGACAAAGTCATTGTATCGACCATAGAACCTACGAAATGATGACTTTAAACGAGACAGCTGATATTCTTGTTTCATCAACTTATTTGTCAATAATTTACCTCGTTTTAGAAATTGTACATACGTAGAGCATGCTCTTGCGTATCGAATCAACTGAGAGATATATACCCCGTATGCAGGTGATGAAGGTATATTGCTGCATAAATAAGGGAAGTTGACGATTGAAAAGTTAAAGTCATCACGTTTATCATAAAGCTTGGTTGTTAGATTACCATTAACGTCTTTTTCAAGTAAAATATCCAAATATGAAACAGATGTGTCAGACTCTGTGGTATCTTTTATCTCAAGTTCACAAGGATATATCATATCGACATAAGAATGGAAATAGCCATTGTTAATTGACAATACGTCGTCGATATATCTAAATGTCGAGTTGAAGGCCACAGCAAGTGTTTTCTTCTCTTCACGTACAAGATTTTGGACAAATTCTGCTTCATATGAATACAAAAAAAGGTCTGCTAATAACGGGGCGCAATTGGGAATTCCAGTAGATTGATGGAAGACCTGGTCTCCAAAAACCACATAGTTATTGTCAATCAGAAACTCAAGCATCTTTTTAATGTCAACTTCAGAGTCATTTGGGAAATGTTTAGTTTAAGTGTTTACATTGTGTACATCTTTCTCAGAAGGGGGGATGTTGATGTATTGTGATCGGGCGCGGAATGCTCATAATTTTGTTACGTTTAAAAGACGCCATGCTTGAATAAACGTTGTGTCAATCTCAGAGATGTTTCATCAATTATAAGCCCTGTTAGGCATATCAACAAGCGTGGGCTGTGTGTGTGTAAAACCTATGTATCTCTGTGATTTACGACGTTACAATGCTTTATCCCTTATATACAGTGTATTAAATTATTAGGGTTACAAATTGTCAAAAATTTAACAAAACAAAAACATTAAATCACAATGTAATATGAAAATATTCTCATGCTGTGTAACTTCAAATTTGTTGACACACTGTTTGGACCAAAAAGATGTATTTTAGGTCACCTGAGTCACTTAGGTGACCTATTGCTATCTGTTTTAGTCCATCGTCGTGCGTAACATTTGAACATTTTCTGCTTCTACTCTGCAACGGCTGTACCAATTTCAACCAATTTTGGCATAGAACATCATTAGTGAATTTCATGGTCCATTAGGAATGGGGCCAAATCCATCAAAATGAGTGCAATTTTAAAAATCTTCTTTACTCCTGGACATAAAGCAGTTAAACTGAAGGATTGTAATAAGCATTTAGCCCTCTACCAAAATTGTGAAATTCATGTCCCCTGGATCATGGGTTCTGGAGTTAGGGCGAGGCTCTAATGATCATATAGTGAAAATACATACATTCTTTAAAAATAATCTTCTCTCCCCCTATATATGAAGCAAATAAAGTAAGTGTATGGTTATGATGATCAAGGATGCCTCTTTCAAAACTGAAATTTGTGGCACCAGGGTGAGTGGATCTGCATGAAGGTGGAAGGGGGCTCTATTGATTATATACTAAAAATGCATTATTTCTTCCATAATTGTTGGCCCCTAATTCAGTGGCTCTAATGTTAGGACGGCGCTCTATTGATCATAGAATGAAAATGTATAAAATTCCCCTTCTGTATATAAAGCAGATAAACCAAGCTTATGGTAATGATGATCAAGGGTGTTTCTTCAAAAATTGTGAAATTTGAGGCCCCAGAGTGAGGGGTTCTGCGGGAGGGGGGCTTTATTGATTATATGTTGAAAGTGCATTATTTCTTTGAAAATCGTATTCTCTGCTCCAAAGTATTTACATGTAGCAGATAAACCAAGTATATAGTTATGTAGTATATAGCTATGATGAGCAAGGATGCCCTTTTCAAAATTATGATGGCCCTAGGGCCAGGGGTTCGTGGGGGGGGGGGGGGGTATAGATATGAAGTGTTAATCTTCTTCTCTTCCCGTGGGTATTTAACATTTAACAGAAAAAAAATGATGAACAAAGATGTTTTAGCTCTACTGGTCAGAGACCAGAAGAACTTATGCGATAGTAAGGTGTCCGGCGTCCGTCTGTCTGTCTGTAAATAATTTTTCAAAACGCTACACCTCCTACAGTTTTGGTCTGATTTCAATATAACTTGGCACAAAAATAGATTACACTAAGATACATAATTTAGTCCATCAGTTTCTGATTTTGATGAACGGTGTTGCCATGGTTACTAAAAATGGAAATTTCTGTGAAATTCCTTCAACACGCTACTCCTCCTACAGTTTTGGTGTGATTTCAATATAACTTGGCACACAAGTAGACTACACTAAGATACTTCACTTAGTGCATCGGCTTTTGATTTCGATGAAGGGGGTTGCCATGGTTACTAAAAATAGAAATTTCTGTAAAATTCCTTTAAAACGCTACTCCTCCAACAGTTTTGGTCTGATTTCAGTATAACTTGGCACACAAGTAGACTACACTAAGATTCATAATTTAGTGCATCGGTTTTTGATTTCGATGAACGGTGTTGCCATGGTTACTAAAAATAGAAATTTCTGTGAAATTACTTTAAAACGCTACTCCTCCTACAGTTTTGGTCTATTTCAGTATAACTTGGCACACAAGTAGACTGCACAAGGATACCTAATTTAGTGCATCGGTTTTTTATTTCGATGAATGGTGTTGCCATGGTTACTAAAAATAGAAATTTCTCTAAAATTTTTTAAAACATTACTCCTGCTACAGTTTTCGTCTGATTTTAATCTAATTGGCACACAATTGGACTACACTACGTTACATAATAGTGTATATCGGTTTTTGATTGCAGTGAATGGTGTTGCAATGGTTACTTAAAATTTCTCCTCCTACAGTTTTCGTTTGATTTCAATATAACTTGGCACACAAGTAGACTGTATTTAGATACATAATTCTATTTTTTGCTGCATGTTGCAAAGTTTTAAAATCCAAGTGCTACTTTTCCTTTGTTATACGTACAGATCAGTAGAGCTACAGTCTCATCAGAGACTTCTGGTTTCAAAAAATTTAAAATCCATAACCCCATGGTCAGGGGTTTTGGTATTTGGGTGAAGCTTTTTGAATTTATAGTACAAATGCATTATTTCTTTGTAAATCTTTTTCTCTGTCCCTTGTTATTAAGGAAGCATACTTAGTACATGGTTATGATGAGCAAGTGTGTCTCTTTCAAAATTGTGAATATCTTGAGCCCTGAGTCAGAGGCTGTAGTATTAAGGTGAGGCTTCATTAAATCTATCGTGAAAAAGGATTACTTCTTTGAAATTTTTTTTCCTCTCCTGGGCATCTGGGAGGCAAACGGAGTATATAAAGATGTAATAAGCAAGGGTGTTTAAATTCTGTACCCTTTGATTAATTTATTAACTTCTACTGAAAGAAGTTGCTCCCCTTTGCTGTGAACCTATGAAAGTTAACCACTGAAAGTAATATAAGTGAAAAGGTCAGTTGAATACAGGAATTATATTTTACTATGCCCCCTTCGAAGAAGGGAGGGCATATTGCTTTGCTGTTGTCTGTTGGTCGGTCTGTATGCCTGTCGGTCCACCAACAGTTTCTGTTCATTTTCTTTACAGAGGTTGCACATACTGAAATGAAATTTGGTATACAGATTTATCATAAGAATATCTAGGTCAAGATCCGTTTTGGGTACGATTGAGCAATTTTTGACAGTTATGCCCCTTGGACTTGGAAAAATTCCAATTATTTGGGGGGGGGGGGATTAGTGTTTCACAAACATTTCTTGTTTAAAAAATTCTTTTATAGTTTTTAATGGTCAAGTAGACTTTTGAATTAAAGATAAATAAAAATCGGACAAAAATACACTGTATCTTTGTCATTGTACATTAAGTAATCTTCAAAAGCTAAGAGAGGCCAGTTTGACGGGGAATGAAAAGTTTTAACTAATGGTGCTTTAGGATGTTTTGTTTAGTCCACATGGGGATAGTGACAAATGGGGAAAAGTACAGGCAAATAAAGAATTTGTTGATGAGTACTAAATATTTTGCTGATCCCTGATCATCCTATTCCTCTTGCTTTTGGGCAATATAGCGTCATTTATCAGGTCATTTTGTTTTAATCTATGGATCGTAATATTATTCTCAGGTGACCGTTAATTAATTAGAAGGCACAGTTGTCTGTTATGGCATATGATCTCTTTTTGTAAAAAGATGGGACAATAAAACATGCCTTGTGTCAAGGATTACAACCCTTTGGCATGCAAACGATTGTTTTTCGGGTTTTCGAAAGAGTATATGCTCTTTAGGGGTCGCCAGGGAAACCAAAAACTTTTTAAAACTTATCCTAGGAGATTTTACACATGTACCGCCGAAATATGTCCGAGATTCTTTCGATTTCCGTGAAAAACGGTAAACACTCTTTTTAATAAACGGATAACTTACCATTTTATTCCTGCTATAGTTTTTAGTCCTACTAAAAGAGTAGAGGAGAAAAATGCGACGGACCTAATCGGGATTCGAACCCGGGCCCCCTGAATCGTCAGTCAGGTGCTCTACCAACTGAGGTATCTGGCAAACGGCGATTGAACCCGTCTGACCGCCACATTTCTCCCTCCTTAATGGTCTTCGGTCCCCGAAAACACCAACCCAGACTCTTCCCT